CCAGTATTTTTGCTATTACAAATGATGCGGTAATGAGCATGCCTTTACATATGCAATTGTTCATGTTTATATTTACCTATAGGATAAATTCCCAGAAGTGAAATCCCTGGGTCCAAGCTCATGAGCATCTCGGCGGTGGACATCTGTCACCCTTTCATGAGTGTTCTGCATCTTAAATACTTTCACGTGTTCAGGGAAAATAAGAATCTTGGTGAGAGGCAGAGCTTGCCTCCCTTTACAGAAGACAAACAGTCCAGATACCACCCCTTCCTACCCCCAACACGTGGACATGTGACTGGGCTCAGCCTCAGACTCTGGATCTGGAGTCAGGACCTGAGCAAGCGGGACACCCCAAAGTTCTGGCCAGCCAGGGCAGTGGCACCATGCCTGGCTGCTTCCCGTGGTGTGTTTTTGGCTGCAATCCCAGCCACCTGGCTTTCTGCCTGTTTTCTTAGCCTGGCCCCGCAGGCTGCTAGTGATTCTGTGAGCTCCTCAATGTCTTTTCAATCAACTCCTCTTCTGCTTAAATCAGTCCAGCTTGGATTCTGCTACTTGCAATTAAGAATCTGGTTCTATTGTAGCCAGCCTCCAAAATGGCACCCAATGATTCTCGCCAATCGGATTGACCTGTGTAACCAGTAGGATATTGAGGAAATGACAGAGTATGATTTCTGAAGCTAGGTCTGAAACAACATTGTGGCTTGCACCTGCTCTCTTGTATCATTTGCTTTGAGGGAGACCAGCTGCCATGTTGTCAGGATGCCCAAGCAGCCCAGTGGAATGGTTATGCGGCAAGTGAGTGAGGCCTCCAGCCAACAGCCAGCACCAACTTGTGAACTGCATGAGTGAGTCACCTTGGAAGCAGATCCTCCAGCCCCAGTCAAGCCTTCAGATGACTACAGCCCCAACTGGCATTTTGACTGCAGCCTCGTGAGAGACTCAGAACTAGAACCAGCCAGCCAAACTGCTTCTTAATTCCTGACCCTCAGAAACTTAATTAATTTTTAAGCCACTAAGTTATGGGATGACTTGTTAAAGCAAAAATAAATAGCTAACTCAGCCATAAAAAAGAATGAACTTGCCATTTTCAACAACATAGATTGACCTAGAGAGTATTATGCTAAGTGAAATAAGTCAGACAGAGAAAGACAAATACCACGTGATTTCACTCATGTGTGGAATCTAAAAAAGAAAACAAATGAACAAATGAAACAAAACAAAAACAAACTCACAGATACAAAGAACAAACTGGTGGTCGCCAGAGAGAAGAGGGGTGTGGGAATGGGTGAAATGGGTGAAGGGGATTAGGAAGAAGAAACTTACAGTTATAACATACATAAGTCATGGGAATGTATGGTACAGTATAGGGAATATATCCGATAATATTGTAATAGCTTTGAATGGTGACAGATGGTTGCTAGACTTGTCGTGATCATTTTATAATGCATATAAATGTCAAATCTCTGTGTTGCATGCCTGAAACTAATATATTGTCTGTCAACTATACTTCAATTAAAACAAAACAAAACAAGAATAAATAACTAATATAGATACAATTTTCAATTTTAATAGTCTACCAAATTGCCCTTCAAAAAGACGACAGCAATGTGCCCTCCCACCAATACCACGTGGCAGAGCGGCTAAAGTGATTGGTTTCGGAAAGGAGAAGAGGGGAACAGGGAAACTGATTCTTGATAAGGCCCCTATCCTCAGCGCCTCCCTAAATTACGGAATCCTAAATTGGCCCCCTAGGACCCCCTGCCACCACAGGACCCAGAGGATAGTTATGGAACCATTGTTCTTGTACAGTCAGGCCACTGGGCAGGGATGTGGCCAGAATCTGGCCTGGTGGACAGGCAGGGTCAACAAGGAGAAATCTGAGCAGGGACAAGGCCACAGGTGTCAGGTCACATGATCACCAGCTGCAGGGGGTGTGGCAGGTGAGCAGGCAGATTGGCAGAAATCTCCCCAGGCTGGTTGGGAAAGGGGCCTCAAAAGAGCGGAGATGCTTGGTGAGTGGGCATCTGTACTTGGGGCCAAGGCAGCAGCCAGAACTGAGCATTTCTGGGCCGCCCTGACCTGGGATCCCTTGCATATGACTTTAGAGACCCAGGGCTCAGGAGGTGACAGAATTGCAGTAGTGGAGGGTGGAAGATAGGAGGGGACCGATATGTCCTGAGCACCAAATATTTGCCAGGCATGGAGTCTGCCAGGTAGACAATCATCATCCCCATTTTACAGGCGAGGAAACTGAGGCTCAGTGAGGCTATTACCAGCCAATGTCTGACTCTAAATCCCTTTACATCACACAGCCTCCAGGGCAGAGGCAGACCTGATCTCTTTGTTTGTTTTCCCCATTGCTCAGTGAAAGGAAAGCCTTTGGGGAGTAGACTCATCACTTTTCCAGTGAGAAGGATGGCCCCACAATCTCTGCTGTCCTCACTTTCAGAACTGTCCCCTCAGGCCGGGCTCCCATGTCAGGATGCTTAGAAGGTCACTGAGTCAGCGGCAGTGGTCCTTTCTTGCCCATCTTTCTCTGCTCCAACAAATCTGGTACGTCCTTGTGAAACAGACATGTAAGGGGTGCCTGTCACAGGCCAGGCAGCACGCTAGGCCTACAGCAGTGGGTAAGGCAGAGTTTCTGCCCTTCAAAGAGTTCATAGTCCAAAGAAGGAGGAAGAGAAGTAAAGAGGAGGATATTGCATAATGCCATAAGGATTCCAGTAGAGAAAAACTCACAGCAAAGTAGGAACCCTGAGAGGGGGCACCTTAGCTAGCCTGGGAGCATCAGGAAAGCTTCCTGAAGATAACCTCTGATCTGAGTCATAAACAATGAGAAGTAGTCTGCCAGGGGAAGGGAGGGAGGGAGGGCCAGGCAGAGGAAACAGCATGTGCAAAGCCTGGAGGAGTGGCACTTTCTAGGAACTGCCAGGTACCGCATATGCCTAGAGCATACAGTTTGGAAGGAGAGAGGGGAAGGAGGAGGGGCCAGAGATGGGGCAGGAGAGGTGAGCAGGGGCTAGATCCTGAAAATGGGGAGCCAAAGATTGAAGGGGAGATGTTAGGAACAGCTTGCAGTTTATAAAGATTATTCTAGCTGCAGGGTGGACAATCAGGGTAAACTGAGGGCAGGGAGATCAAGTAGAGGGCCACTATAGAGACCCAGGAAAGAACCAATGCAGGCCATGGCTGTGGAGATGGAGGATGGGGCCTGTAGGGGAGAGGCACAACATCTACAGGACGTCGTGACTAAGAGCGGACAGAGAAGTCCCATCCCTGGTCTTTGTAGTTACATGACCCAATAGTTGTCCCTTTTTGTATGAAGTCCTTTTGTGTTACATTTTCTATCATCTGCAATCAGAGTTTTTAGCTCTTACACAGGCCTAGTTGTGCAGAGAGGGGACGGATGTTTGAAGTAATTACACTGTTGTCTCCATTTCTTCTTTCTTCTTTCTTTTCTTTTCTTTTTTATTAATAGATGTTTTTTAGAGCAGTTTTAGGTTTCAGAAAAACTTAGCAGAAAGTAGAGTTCCCATATACCTCTCTCCCCTGTGCCCCTCCAGTTTCCTCTATTATTAATATTTTGCATTAGTGGGGTACATTTGTTACAATTGATGCACCCATATTGACACATTAACTAAAGTCCATAGTTCACATTAGGGTCCACTCTTTGTGTTGTACATTCTATAGGTTTTGACAAATGTATAATGACCATTACAGTATCATACAGAATAAGGGTCACTGCTGTAAAGATTCCCTGTGCTCCACCTTTTCATCCCTCCCCCGACTCATAGCAATCACTGATCTTTTTATTGTCTTCATAGTTTTGCCTTTTCCAGGATGTCATATAGTTGGAATCATACAGTATGTAGCCTTTCCAGATTGGTTTCTTTCACTTAGCAATACGCATTGAAGTTTCCTCCATGTCTTTTCGTGACTTGATAGCTCACTTCTTTTTATTGCTCAATAACATTTCTTTTCATTGCTGAATTAACATTCCATTGTGTGGATGCACACAGTTTGTTTATCCTTTCACCTACTGGACATCTTGGTTGCTTCCAAGTTTGGGCAATTATGAATAAAGCTGCTATACACAGTCGTGTGCAGGTTTTTGTGTGGACAAAGGTTCTTTTTTTTTTTTTTTTTTTGGGGAAGACCGGCTCTGAGCTAACATCTCTTGCCTTTTATTTATTTTATTTTTTCCCCCCAAAGCCCCAGTGGATAGTTGTGTGTCGTAGCTGCACATCCTTCTAGTTGCTGTATGTGGGACTCGGCCTCAGGATGAACGGAGAAGTGGTGCCTCGATGCGCACCCGGGATCCGAACCCGGGCCGCCAGCATCGCAGCGCGCGCACTTAACCACCAAGCCACAGGGCCGGCCCTGGACAAAGGTTCTTAGCTCATTTGGATAAACACCAAGAAGCATGATTGCCAGATCGTACGGTAAGAGTCTCTCCTCCCTTTTTCACATCCACTTCCTCTGGAGGTTAGAAGGTGACCCTACCTGGAAAAATGATGCCTGAGAATCGTAGGTCTTGGGTTTGTGCAGAAACAGAAATGATCTTCCCAAGGGAGCTAAGCGTGTTCTCTTAGGACAGGGGTCCTTACCCAGGTCCCCCAAATACCCTGGAATTATACATGGGAAGGAGGCCCTCATCAGAGTGTCAAGGGGTCTAGGAAGCAAGAGAAATTAAGCTACAGATTTTACCTGCAGCTGAAAGAATCCTCAGTGATGGGAAAGAGAAGAGAAACTGACAGTCAACCTCAGTGTTCAGAATGTCCCGGAATGAAAACCAACCCTCTAGTTACCATTTCTAACGCTACTTCAGGGACCTGGTGTCCAACAGGAGCCCGGGCTGGATGTGGCCCCCATAGAAAACACCCTTCTCTCTCCCCTAGTTCAAAGGAGACTAGAAGCACATTGACGTGATGGCAAAGTCCATTTGCACAGTTTATTTAAAAAGAAACAGCTGTAAGGTAGAAATGCAGATATTTTCTTTATTGTAAAGACAGTTACAAAAGAAAAGTAATAAATATGATGTTAGGAATTACTTTTTAAAATACAACAAACCCCTGGCATTTGTGAGCAATCCCAAGAACTCACAACATACAAAAATCTGTGCTGGGAGTAAGAACTTCTTCCCCCAAACACCTCGGAGCAGATGTTGGAAACTGGCTAGATGATGAGAATGGTCATGACTTTTGGAATTTTGAAAGGTTCTAGATTTTTCACTTGGGAATGTCAGGGGTCTACTGTAATATAATTTGCACAGAGTCAGAGTAAACAGGAATTCTTCTACTCATTAATATTACTTCTAACTATTCTTTCATTCTTACAGTTAAGTAGCACAGTATTTAAGAGTAGAAAAAAGGCTGAAAAGAGAACATATGAATGGAGGGGGATGAAGAAGGTGGATGTCGGGGGGTGCTAAGAGGAGAAAGGTGATGGGAAGAAATAGAACTTCCTGTCTTTTCTCTATTGTGTGTCATCTCGGCAGCATGACATGCCCCCTATTGGAGAGGGGACAGTGGTCCAGCCTGGATCCCCATAAACCTCACCATCATCAAAGGACAGAAGATGCAAAAGCAACTGACAGAATCAGGCTCAGAATGAGAACAAGGAAGTGGATGTTCTCCTTATTAGGGAATGAAGGGGAGGAGGACATGCGGGGGAGAGGTGCAGAGAAGAATTACCCAAGGACACGGGCAACATTAACATCATAGCCCTCCAGGGACTATCTCCTCTATGGACCACCAAAGAAGGAAGTATCTGTACAAACTAACAGAGACCACTCTTTGACGTGGAATGGTAAAGGGGCAAGGCACAAGTACAGGCTGCCAAGTACAGGCACGTTCTGGCTACAGAGAAGGACAAAGGGGGTGAGCAGCAGAGAGAGGTGAGTGGGCAGTTGGCCCATTCCAGAACCTTCTGGGAGGGGCTCCCACACTGGGATGAGAGCCACCCCTTGCCACCCCTACGAGGCTAAGGAGTTTGCACTGGGCAGTGGGTGTGAAAGCTGGTTAGGGTGAGGGGTCAGCAGGAGTGAGGATGCCTGGCCAGCTCCCCCTGTAGTGTCCGTGAGGCACAGCTGTGGACAGAGGTCAAGGTCGCTTGACTATGTACTGAAAGTGGCCTTGAGTTCTTGGAAGGCCGCCTGGCGGAGCTTCCTCTTCTCCTCCTCCTGCTTCCTCTCATCTTGCTCGGCTTTTAGCTCTGCTTCAAACTTACTGGCAGAGGACAAGGCTTGGACCTGCAGAGAAACAGCAAAAATAGACCAACAGAGTGAGAGAGGGGAAGAGAAACTTGGAGATGGAACAGTCCATCAACCAGTTCTTGGCTGTCTCAAGCCGTGTGACATGGAAATCTAGTCCTGCTGGGGACAAGATCCCCCCAGCAAATACTCCGGCCCTTTGGTCTTCCAAAGGGTGTGATCATTTTATTTGCTGCTGTGTCCTATCTGCTGGGGTGAGTCATTCCACTTCACCTCTGTTTCGGGATACTGTGTAACATCCCCACCTACTATCCACTTCTACTTTCTCCCTTCAATTTCACAACAATATTGTTTAATTCCAGGGAAAACAAAAACAAAAACAAAATGAATTCCCTGCTGGGATTTTGACTGAGGTTTCATCCATCCACCTGTGGCAAAAGGATATCTTTAAACTACACAGTTTTCCCTAAATGCCTCGGTTTTTATTCAATACTGCTTTTATGTTACCCGTTAAAATTTTTCGTTTTCTTTAAATCAATCAATGTAAACTTACTTCCAAATATTACACGTTTTTGTTGGTATTGTGAATGGGATTTCATGTCTTTTTTTAAACCTAATTTATCTTCAATAATACTGTATCAGACAAATCCATCTTAAAATCCTCTCTTCTAAACAGATTCTCTTTTTCTCTCCGTGTCTCATCAATTTGGTAAAATTTCCAAACACATCAGGCGTGTAGGTTATTTTAATAGAGACTGCTGAATTGCTCTCCAAAGCAGCTGTTCCAATTTACACCCCCACCGTCAGGGAATGCAAGTATTCATTTCCACACAACCTTGCCAATGCTTATCATTAACTTCTTTCCTGTTTGCCAATCTGATAGGCAAAAAAACTGGCACCTTCTTTTATTTCCTCTTTGGTGAATTACCCATTTGTATCCTTTGCCCATTTTTCTATTCAGCTTTTTTTTTTCTTTAATTTGCATTTCTTTACATAATTTAGGTCTTAGTCCTTTGTTTCACATATATATATGTTTATATACTTTCTCCCAGTTCTTTGCTTGTCTTTTAACTTTAAGGTATCTTGGGCCATACAAATATTTAAAATTTTGATGTAATCAAAATTTTCACCCATTTCCTTTCTGGCTTTTGTATTTTATATCATTTTTAAGAAGGTCTTCTATACCCCCAAGTTTCTAAACCCATTTTCCTATATTTTCTTCTAATACATTTATGGTTTTATTTTCACATTCAGCTCTTTTAAGTCACCAGCAATTTATTCTAGTGAGGAAGTATCATAATGAGACTTCACTTCATTTTCCTAAGTGGATAGCCAATTGTTGCAACACCTGTTATTGAAAAGCCCATTATTTTCCCACTGAGTTGAAAATGATCTTTTTCATATACTAAATTCCCAAATGAAGGAGATCTGTTTTTATTATTTTCTACCCTGTTCCACTAACTGGTTTGTTTATTCCTGTACCCATACTACTTTACTTAGTATTACTGCTTTATATGATGCCTTGATATTTATAAGGAAGGTAAATATTCTTTTATCATGTTGAAGAAGCATACTTTTTCTTATTTGTAATTCTGCACTAGGGAAGAAGGGGATACTAGATATTGAGGGGCACAGAATAATCTCTTGCACACATTTCCATTGCTGAACCAACCACTCGCAAGGGCTGGAATATCATGAGTCTGATCAGGCTTTCTCTCCTGGAGCCCAGGGTGGGGTCAGTCTCCCCTAGACCCTTGGGCTATGTGCCAGGGAAGCATCTCATAGGAAGAAAGAAGGCAGGAAATGGATGCTCCACAGACACTCAACTACACAGACCACAGCAGCTATCTTCATAAGATGCAAGTTGAAACCCAAGAGCTAGAGGACATTGACCAATGGTGGGAACATATTGGTGACTGGATTGTTGGGAAGGAAGAAACCAGAGACACAAGGAAACCCTAGAGAAAATGTTATTTTGGAGGAGGAACAATTTCAGGAAGAGATTAAATTGGATAAGGCCAGAGTAAAGGTCTTGGGTCCAGCAAATCTTGAGAGACCAGGTTCACCATGCAAAGCAGATTGCAATAGGGTAGGAAGTGAAGGGGAACTGAAGGCAAAGAGCCCTGATGGCTGGGCACACGGATTCCCAGGAGAAAAGGCATTGTGTAGACTCCCATGTAGATGGATGTGGCCAAGTTTTGTCTAACAAGACGTGAGCAGAAACTATTTGCAACCAACATCGTGCCCTTCAAATGATGGGGCATGCCTTCCCGTTGCCTGAAGTCACCTCAGACTGAAAAGCAAAACCCAGTTTATAACTTTTCCTCCGCAAATCATTCCCATTCTGTGTGTC